GATGACTTTCTTACGCATGTGGCATCTTTAACCGTGAATGCGAACGCTTCCGGTTGAAGTCTTTATCTGGAGACCATTTCAAAGCCTTCATCCTCGTTTGCAGCCTCCAGTCTTAGAAGTTCATTGACATAAGAACGTGACTACTATGTCGATTGGATCAAGATCCAAAACTCACACTTAGAGACATGGCTAATGAATACCAACACCTAGTAAATCTGCAACGAGAGTCGACGATGGTTGAGAGTGGTGGGTCTAGTCGATAGGAAGTACGAGTAGTCCAAAAGAAAACTAACCAGAATAAGTGCTTTCCCGCCACATCCAGTCCAACTCACTTCAGCCCAATTCGACAGACCAAAACAAATCCCTCCACTCCTTGCTGGCACTGTGTTGCATGGCACTACGTACGAAATTGCCCATTTAGGCAACATCGATGAAGGAAGCGCAAGGTCGTTGGTCACAAGGACGGGTTTGTCTTAAGAGCACGCCAAATCGTTCCAGTAGTACCAAAAAGACTGTTCCGAAGCCCTGTACCTCTTATTTGAGCTTAGTTTTTTCTTGTCAGAGCTCATCACCAGGTGAGAGGATATTCATTAACCTCATTATTAATGCAAATTTTTTAGATCGCAAATAGATACAGCATCAGACGTCACCATCCTCTCACACAAAAATTGGACTAAAATGAGCAGCCATAGCCCGCAGCGAACAACTCAAAAGCCTCATACCGCATGTGGTAATTTTCTGCACTTGTCAGGACAATTGAAATGTAGAGTAACCTTCCGGAATTCTTCGTTTATCGGGGTATGTCATATAACTCCAGCTGATCTAAATTTACTTGATTTAGACTGGTTCAACCAACTGAAATTGGCTGATGTCCCACTCAATACCATATGCCACATGGTATCACAACCACATGACACTGAATCGTATACGAGGAAGCTAATGACGCGGTTTTCATCGATTTTCTAATCTGGTTTGGGACAGTGTTCTGACATAAAGGCGACGCTTCGTTTGAAACCTGGAGCTAAGTCTGTCTTTCGTCTCAAAAGATCTGTACCTTATGCGACGTTACCAACGGTAGATGAAGAATTAAACCGTCTCCAACAACAAGGAGTAATTACTCCCGTTTCTTACTCCTCCTGAGCAGCACCAATAGTGGTCATCAAGACGGCAAACGGCATCATATGATTATGTGCTGATTTTTCTACAGAACAAAATGCAGCTCTTGAACAACATCACTATCCTTTACCAGTCTCTGCAGATTTGTTCACCATGCTTAATGGGGAAAATTCTTCGCAAAATTAGATCTTGCTGATGCTTATTTGCAAGTTGAAGTAGACGGAGCATAGAGTGAACTGCTTAATATTAACGCTCATCGTGGGTTATTTCAGTATAATCGTCCGCCCTTCGGTGTCATGACTGCCCCATCTATTTTCCAACAATTAATAGACACCCTCCTATCTGGCATCGCGGGGGTCTCGGATTACCTTGACGACATTCTAATTATTGCGACAACATTAGAACAACTGCAGGAACAAACGATATTGATACTGAAACGCATCAGTGAAAACGAGTTCCCGTTACGTCCTGAAAAATGTTAGTTTTATTGAGGTTGGTGAAGTATCTGGGGTTCATTTTTTATGCTGACGGCCGCAGACCGGATCCTGAAAACGTCCAAGTGATAAGACAGATGCCCACGCCTACGAATATCTCTGCACTATGTTCGTTCACGCAGCTGATCTCTTATTATGCCGCGTTCTTCCCTTCAATGCATGACATTCGTGCCCCACTGAATGGTCTACTGAGCAAGAACAGTACGTGGAACTGGACTAAAGAGTGTGATACAGCATTTTGTAAACTGGAGTCCATCATCAGCTCGAAATTGTTATTAACGCACTACGATCCATGCATGCCGATCATCGTAGCTTCAGATGCTTCAGCGTATGACTTAGGTGCCGTCATTTCACATCAGTTTCCAGACGCATCAGAGAAGGTTGTCATGCACGCATCCCGTACGCTGACCCTGGCAGAAAAGAAGTATAGCCAGATAGAGAAGAAGGCTCTCGCACTCGTTTTTGCTGTGCTCCGTTTCCACAAGTTTTTGTACGGTCGGAGGTTCACACTTCTTGCTGATCACAAGCCTCTTCTCGCAATTTTCGGGTCGAAGTCTGGCATACCAGCCCACTCAGCAAATCGTCTTCGGCGATGGGCCTTGGTACTCTTGGGTTACGATTTCGAAATCCAGTGCCAATGCACCCAACAATTTGGTCAAGTAGATGCTTTATCACGTCTCATTAATGATCATTCGGTGACTGAGGAAAATATGGTGATCGCATCTCTGTCAGTGGAAGATCACGCAGTGTGTTATCTTACAACTGCAATACGTGCATTGCCGGTGTTCGCGTCAGATATACAAAACACTTCAAAGAATGACCCCGTCATCAAGAGGGCAATGAGCCACATCACCAACGGGTGGCTGTCTGTTAAGTTCGATGGTGACATGAAACAGTTGTAACAGCGGCGAGATTCACTGTGCATTTTAAACGACTGCGTGAAGATTTGATCAATGCATTCTCGACCAGAACGAATACCAGCCTTCTCTTCACGAGTCAGTCTTTCTCGGGATTTAAACAATCCACAAAACATGACAGGAGCCAATAGTTTGGACGCAATCGTTTGTGGTCATACATACGGTCTCCCCGAGTAGACCGACGGGTTTCCATCAGTTTTAAGGAGCAAGAAGAAACCTAGTGCTTATAAGCGGGACGTTTCCCGAAGCCGCAAGCGACTTTACTTGCCATTTTCATGGCATCATGCAGTTGAAACCAATGCTCAATTTCACTTTTCGGTGGAATGGTAGCTAGCCTAGAAGCCTAATTACTTGCAGCAGAAGTTACAACCAGTTTACTGACATCAATCCGTTATTTACGGTCGAATCGCTGACCACTGAAAAGTTAGGTAATGCCACGAGAAGGCAGTGAGTAGGACTTCCCTATCGGAGGTTATATACGCGTGGCCATGTGAGAGCGTTTGGAGAGGAGAGGTGGCCATCTCGATAGGTCACAAAATAATCAATAGTTAATGTCAATGATGGAACAAACTCGTCATCATACATTAACTCCCATGACTAATAGAAAGCATTTGACAGTATGAATAGGAGAATTTCATGAAACATTCATCGACACTATGGTGTACCTGAGAAGATTGTCAACATCATATGGACTACACAGAAAATTCATTAATGGAGCACAGCTGACAGATGTATTTAAAGAGAGGACCGATGTCAGACAATACTAACTACTCTCATCCTTTATCTTCTGGTGTTTGATTGGATTACAGAGACCTCTACATCTCAAGAGGAGCATGGAATAAAAATGACGGCTTCTATGCAACTAGACGATTTAGAATTTGCAGATGACCTAGTCCTTCTATGCTACACACATCAACAAATGTAGGTGAATAGCCCCCAAATGCACCGGTACGGCCAGTTACTTCAATGGTAGAAATGTATATAAAAAGGAGTGCATGTGAAGATGATACAGGGAGAAAAAATCAGTTTACAGAAGGAAAGTTATAAAATAATTTGAATCTCACGGTTTAAGGGAAGACAAAGTGTGAATACACCTAGGCCATCGCGATTGATGGAGTTGTTAGGAAACAGGTACTAGGTAAGGATGGCAATTCGATTGATGAAGTAGTGAAACTTCATCAGTTGAGATGGTTGGGACATGTGTTACTTATGCCTAACCACCGACTGCTCCGACGAGCTATGATTTATGGTGTAGGAGTAGGTTGGAGGAAAGCTGGCGGCGGCCTGATCAAAATGTGAACTGAAGCATGTTGGTAGATGTAGACTACGTGGTTGAGATCCGCGAGATGATAACAACCGATGGTTAGAGACAGAGAATGACATGGCTCAAAATCGTGTGCAATGGCGAACGTAAATCCACCCTTTATGTTCTCCCGAATTCTAATTTTCTGAATGCGCTATGTTACTTTATCTTTTCTCTTTCCAAATATATTTCACTGGGTTATACTCCTTGAATAACATACTCAAACCTTTATCTTTCCGACTACTGCTTATACTCTTACTACCTCTACCACTGTGAGATTTCAATCAACAAATGCATCTGTGTGCTAATGTGCACAAGTTGAACTACACTGTGTCCAAATTTAATGACGCATGGACACACAAAACTAAATAACAACAAAACACTATTTCTGTTCTCCAAATTTAATTATTACTTCATCAATCAAGAAAACAACACAACGTATTTCATTCATGTTTATTTCATTTCAATTCAATATCAAAAATACACAAATGTGTTCATTGTAATCAGTTTAATATAACAGACGAATAAACAGGCTTCACAATTATTCATGTTACCTGAAAACGAAATGAGAAAATGATATAGAATGATTCAGTGCAAGTGAAATTTATTTTAAACCATGATTGAACCTAATTGAATCACATTTACAAAAACTAGTGGAGCTGAGTAGCATTCATCTCGCCAACTGAAATTATTGTTTCACACTTCAACGTAATTCGTTTTCACTTATCCGGAAACCGAATTGTTGTGTGCAATAACGAAGTGGAGAGATTTGTTTAATAGAATTGTAACAGGTGAAGTGGATTTCAGTTCACTACTGTTTGACCCTTTTCAGCACATACATAATGTTGAAGATGTCAGTGTTCACCTTCTATCGAACATCATACTCTTCTCCATGTGCATTCAACAAGGTCTAGTGAAAGAATGATTCTGGTGTTCTGTGATTAACGAAATTGATGAATGTCGAATAACCGTTCAGTTCGTCCATGATCGAACCAAATGTGACAATATGAAAATAAATACGATTCGAAAATTCCTGTTCATTATTAGGAAGTGGATAATCGGACGACATATCGTGTTGTTGAAATGGGTTGATAATTGACTGATGACTGTATATTATTTCGACTAATTTGTAGAAGGGTACTTACCGTATTCAGTGAATTCTTTCTTTCTTCAATGAAGGGGACGTTTATAGATTTGATCATCATTATCAGGCCTTTCCTCATCATCATCATAGGAATCATCACCATCCGAATCATCATCATCATCATCCGAATAATCATCATCCGAATATTCATCATCATCCGAGTCATCTTCATCATCATCATCATCATCATCATCATCATCATCATCATCATCATCATCATCATCATCATCATCATCATCATCATCATCATCATCATCATCATCATCATCATCATCATCATCATCAGCAGCAGCAGCAGCAGCAGCAGCAACAACCTCAGCAGTGTCATCATCTTCATCTACTTCTTTCGTTCTTGGGATAAGGCCCATTCCGCTCAGACCTTGTCCAAATTTGTTCTCATTATTCTATTCAACTGCAGTTGAAGTGTGTGGACCTGAATTCGAAAAAAGATAAATGACTTGTCAATTTTAACTGATACTATGAATGGTGATTCACGAGACTGAGAGAGACAAGTCAAATTAACAAATGATGTTTCAGTCCAAACACTGTATGATTGATACTCATAACTCACTGCCAATAATCACCAACCATTAATTACTTTCGTACTATAATTAGCACTTCAAGCACATTGACGGGATTATATTGAATGAAACTACGCTATTCTCCAGTCAGATAAATTACACAACTAAATCCCTCTGAGTCTTATTCATCAATCACAAACATGATTCATCCTGAAATATCACTTTCTTAACAATAAGAGTATTACACAATATAATATATATCTAAGGAATATTTAGAACGTACGTTTATATGAGTGAATGAATGGGACGAAGACTGTGAGGCATAAGATCAAGCACAATATTGATAAACGCATTTTGTTTTTACAACGAAGTAAACTTGAAATGTAGTGAATGCTTGGTCACATAAGAAACACCTTATGCTTATATACTTATACCGACCTATGAGATGTAATGAAATTTGTGGAATTAGTTGAATGAACTCATCTGATTGGTGTTCTGTTCGTCCGTTTCACTCAACAATTTGTTACTAAAATTATACATGGAATGTTCATAGTGAAATGTTTTTATTCAACGTTTTTGTTCTGCATAAATAACTTCAACAACAAGAACAACTACTATCATTATTGCTGATAGTAATAAAACAGTTGGTTCTACTTGATGCTGACTGCTTGATGATTGAAGGGTAATCTCTTGTGTAAACCGGTGACTACATGAGCATGTGCATTAGGAGTGTCAGTTGTAAGGTGAATCAACACCATCGATTCTACGTGATGTTAGATAACAATATCTGCAGCATTTCTAATGCTTGTATGTGGATTCTTGCACATAAAACTGGTGTAAGTATCAGTGGATTGAAAAACACACCGAACCGGACGACATATTGTGTCGTTGAAATGGGTTGATAATGATTTGATGACTGCATACTATTTCGATTAATTGAACAAATTAAATTGCCATTGTCAGAAATTCACTATCAATGATATAACAGAGACCAGTCTGTAGTTTACGAGCATTCAGTTGAGGTCATCCAATTTTATTTTATTAGGAAATTACACATTGTTCTGGTGAAATGCGAAAATCATGCGCTCAATCATCCATTTGCAAATCCCCCAACAATTGTCTCAAACATCATCGCTTTTCGTTGCCACAACAGTCACTCTCTGTTCTCTTACTCTTCGATCTGCACAACATTTGACTGCCAGGCATCATACTTCTAACCGGTGTTCTATGCAACCTATGTCAACATAAGTAACATACACCACAAGTCAACCGCACAAAGAATTCCACATCAGAAAGAAAATCTGTTGTGGTGTGAACAAATGAAGTACAAACCACTGTAATTCGTTGATTAGTGTAGAAAACACTATGAATAGCTGTGTGGTGAATAGTGAAGAGGTGGAGAGAGGAGTTGCATTATAGTCAAATAAATAGATAAACATTCAAATAAATTAGTACACGGGAATATTTGTGAACAGGAGATACGGTTTAGTTGAAAATATCATCAGGAAAAATTCTTGCTGCTTGAGAACTCATCGCTTTATGAAGAGTGTGAGATGAGTCATGAGATAGCAAGTGTCTTCTTTGATTGACCATATCTGATAAGTTATGACGTCGCCAAAACACACCAATTCTGGAACACAAGACAGAGAGTCGTGTTATGTTTCTTGGTAGGATAGTGTTCAACAAGCTACTAATAAGTTCAGTTCATCGAAACAGAGAAATTCCTACTTATCAGGTCACTGATTATAATTACGCTAAAATTTTAAACCATGGAGGTGTTAGCAAGCACTGATTTGAAAGAGAAAATAATGTCTAGATTTATCTGGTCATATTATTATTAAGGTGAGATATTCTAGCGTGATAAGCTAATTAATTCACTACTAATTTTATCATTGAACTCAACTTAGTGAATCAATGCGTTAAATGACATCAAGCGCATTTACTGAAAATCTCTGAACCTACCTTCATCGATTTCGTTAATCACAGAACACCAGAATCATTCTTTCACTAGACCTTGTTAAATGCCCATGAAGTTGTTGCATGAATGATGAATAATAACTACTCGAACATTATCGTTACGCTGAAAACGGGCAAGTAGTAGTAGTGAACTGGAATCCACTTCACCTGTTACAATTCTATTAAACAAATCTCTCCACTTCGTTATTGCACACAACAATTCGGTTTCCGGATAAGTGAAAACGAATTACGTTGAAGTGTGAAACAATAATTTCAGTTGGCGAGATGAATGCTACTCAGCTCCACTAGTTTTTGTAAATGTGATTCAATTAGGTTCAATCATAGTTTAAAATAAATTTCACTTGCACTGAATCATTCTATATCATTTTCTCATTTCGTTTTCAGGTAACATGAATAATTGTGAAGCCTGTTTATTCGTCTGTTATATTAAACTGATTACAATGAACACATTTGTGTATTTTTGATATTGAATTGAAATGAAATAAACATGAATAAAATACGTTGTGTTGTTTTCTTGATTGATGAAGTAATAATTAAATTTGGAGAACAGAAATAGTGTTTTGTTGTTACTTAGTTTTGTGTGTCCATGCGTCATTAAATTTGGACACAGTGTAGTTAAACTTGTTGTCATGATATTCACGTGAATATCCCAAAAATTTTCTCGAACTTAAAGTGATATGTTTTTAGACGTTGCACGTAGTTCACTTGTTTATTCCTATTGGTCATTATTTACAGTTGTCCTTACTTTGACTTTCACTTGTCGTTTTCCTATTGATCAATTTTGAGTTCTCCTAATCATAACCTTTACGTGTCCTTCCTTTCCATTGGTTACTGTTAATAGTCATCCTAACTGTATAAATATGCCTTGTCTGTAAACCATTTTTGACCTGCTTATGACCGCATGAACAATTCTTATTTAACGGCTGTGTTATGATTTAATGGAGGTTGGGGAACAGTATTGGGGTCGTACTAGGATATCTGAATTTGGTCAATCGGTAGAATTTCATGCAGTCCTATCGCAATACGCAAAAATTTAGCAATGTAACACTTGTGCACATTAGCATAAAGATGCAATTGTCGATTGAAATCTCACAGTGGTAGAGGTAGTATAAGTATAAGCAGTAGTCGGAAAGATAAAGGTTTTAAGATGTTATTCAAGGAGTATAACCCAGTGAAATATATTTGGAAAGAGAAAAGATAAAGTAACATAGCGCATTCAGAAAATTAGAATTCGGGAGAACATAAAGGGTGGATTTACGTTCGCCATTGCACACGATTTTGAGCCATGTCATTCTCTGTCTCTAACCATCGGTTGTTATCATCTCGCGGATCTCAACCACGTAGTCTACACCTACCAACATTGTTCAGTCCACGTTTTGTTTAACTTCATTATAGACCTGTTGCTGGAAATAACACTCTCGTCGACTGAATCTACAGGAATTGATCTCCTACCAGGGGGACCACTAAACGACTTAGAATACGCAGATGACATAGTCCTGTTTGGTGAAGACGCTGGCGAAATGCAGAGTCTTCTGTTGGATTTCAGTAATAATGCCAGGATGTTTGGGATGCATTTCTCCCCATCCCAATGTAAATTGTTACTCCAGGACTGGCCTGCGTCAACACCTGAACTAAGGATAGGGAGTGAAGTAGTCGAACGCGTTGACAACTTCACTTATCTTGGAAGTGTGATCAGCTCTAATGGGTTGGTTTCTGACGAATCGATCACAATGGCGTAGGTGTATACACTCTTTATGTTCTCTTAAACCTTGAGACTAAAATTTGTATCATATCTCTCTTCCTTCCCGTACTATATCCTTATATACAACCTATAATTTATATACTACTACCAACACTGAATTAACTACTATGAATCCGGTGTTCATCTAGTGCTGACGAGGTATGTCAACTTGGACCGATGCATATATGTGCCTGGTCCTACGTTGTAGCTGACTGACTGTCTTGTTCCTTTAGGTGACTTCAACCTTTCATCAATGATTACGTTAGCTCGTGAATGACACACAATTGCTTAACCTGTCAAATTTAAAATTGCTCATTCGCAATTACCTAGATAAAGGCATTGTCTTCACTGTGACCCATCACAGCAACTTTCTATTTTGATAAATGGATTTGCTTTGGTTGTTGTAGCAGTAGTAGTATCTATCATTGGAGGTGACACTAATTTTGCAAAGCGTTGAAATAAGACAAATGACTTCCTAAACACAAAACTAGTTTTCAGAGCATACCGAACGACAACTTCAATTATTGACACGGTTTACCATCTACAAAAAGGCAAACTAGGGTTCACAATGCAATGTCTATTACTGAAACGCTCCATTACATCTCACAAGTTAAATCACACTGTGTCCAAATACAATGACACATGGATACACAAAACTAAGTAACAACAAAACACTATTTCTGTTCTCCAAATTTAATTATTACTTCATCAATCAAGAAAACAACACAACGTATTTCATTCATGTTTATTTCATTTCAATTCAATATCAAAAATACACAAATGTGTTCATTGTAATCAGTTTAATATAACAGACGAATAAACAGGTTTCACAATTATTCATGTTACCTGAAAACGAAATGAGAAAATGATATAGAATGATTCAGTGCAAGTGAAATTTATTTTAAACTATGATTGAACCTAATTGAATCACATTTACAAAAACTAGTGGAGCTGAGTAGCATTCATCTCGCCAACTGAAATTATTGTTTCACACTTCAACGTAATTCGTTTTCACTTATCCGGAAACCGAATTGTTGTGTGCAATAACGAAGTGGAGAGATTTGTTTAATAGAATTGTAACAGGTGAAGTGGATTTCAGTTCACTACTGTTTGACCCTTTTCAACACAT